CACATATAAACTAGAAAAAGTGGATCAAATTCGTCCAGTAAATGGTCTTATTAATATGTCACTGACTACTGCTTCGAAAGATTTATATTTGTGTTATGACCAAGGTTACCAGATATCAAAGTATTCATTGATAACATGGAAATTAGTGGAATGTTGGACAAGAAATCAGTTCTTATTGAAAAAAGAGGATGAATATATTCGATGTATAAGAGCTAATGAAAATGGAGCTATCATTGGAATGACCGTACGCGAAAAGAATTGGACTTGGAAAATAAATTTGTACGATTTAAACATGAAATTGGTTAGACAAGGATTACAAATAGGTAACTGTTTCCATATTCTTTTAAGATTAAAGCATTGTTAAATTATTCAATTCTGTAGGTGATGGCGATGTATTGTATTCAAATTGTTTATTGACACCAACTTCATGTAGTGAGGTTCCAAATGGGATATGGTTATTTATCAACTCTGATTCGGGTCAGAGTTGGTTGATCGATGAATATGGACGAATCCGACAAAATGAGGCGATAAAAAATGTTCGAAATGCTTGTTTCCTACAGAATTATTTGGTTTTAAAATCGAAAGAACCGTCAAAATTGGGTATTTATCAGTTATCATGAACAGTATTTATTCTTAGTCATGACCTCATCTGCTTATAAGCTACCATTTAATGTTTATTTTTCTGATGCTATAATAAACGGTCTAAAATGTTGAGCAACATATATTCTAGAACTGTTCCTTCTTCCGAACCAGTACTCATGTTTTTTAAAGAGATATCCCGCCCTGTGCAAAAGATTGCCACCTCTTAAGAGCACTAATTTTTTAAGAGATTTTCATCACTTTGGCTTCAACTGTTTATAAGAATACCACATTCAAATATCCGTCTGTGCTTTAATTAGTGAGACGAGGAAACGGTAAGTTGAGTTAACTTTTCGTGGATCACTTATATGAAACCTTCGATTGGTCTGCAATCTTCGAAGTCACTGACTCGGCTAACTTACTAATGAACGCCATTTTAAGTCTGACATATCATTTTCTTCATTTTTTATTCTTTGTCTCTATAATTTAATAGATTATCAATATATAGACTATAGTTACAGAAATAAAAAAACTTATTTACTTCGTCCCACTCGAAATATTTTGAACCTAGAGGCTAGATAACTCAAGAAGAGAAAAATGTATTTCTCTTGTTCGTCTTCTTGAGATACACACACACAAATAGCAGACCGACGACAAAAGTCATCCAAAGTGATAATCATACTAATTTTTCGTTCTCAGTTAATAATGAAACCTTAAACAGCTTTCAAGACTCTAGAAAGTAGTACTACTGCTTGACATTGATACTCCAAGTATGTGTTGTTGTTTTTTTGTCATTTTATGTTACCATTGAATACTTTGATATCTGGTAACCTTGGTCATAACACAAATATAAATCTTTCGAAGCAGTAGTCAGTGACATATTAATAAGACCATTTACTGGACGAATTTGATCCACTTTTTCTAGTTTATATGTG